ACAAGGGACCAAGGGATAGAATTATTTCAAAAAATTGTTTTCGTTCCTTGTTTCATCTGCTCAAAGTTAGAAGAACTCTCACCAGCCAGTTCAACCCCTTGTGTATTTACGTTAATACAATTCGATGGTCAAAGGAAGTTTTGGCAAAAGAGAGGAAGAGAGGGAGCTTCTGTTGTCTCCTTCCGGCAACAAACAGTGCCAAAGGGTCCTTACAAGCAAGAAGGGCATAAACATACTTTCTGCTTGAACGCTGACACTGTGTTTGAGTTTCCGAAGTCGAGAACAACTAGGAAATGGGTGTGAAATATAACACGAAAGAGAAGGTTCTCTTGTGCTTAAGAACTGCCCCAGGAATGTGAAATATAAGCTTATGGATCTTGATACTAGATGGAAGTAGTTGGTCAGATTCACAGCCAGAAAGAAGTACCACACTGATTATGAACTAGAAAAGTGGCAGTGTACCAACACAGTAGAAATTTGTTTGAAATAAAGATGTCTGTTTTCTGGGCTATTGGAATGTGTGGTTTGATAGGTTACCAACTTTTCAGAGGTTCTTGCTGACTCCATAATCAGGGAAATTATCAACAGGTATAGCCTTCTTTTAATGATAATTTAAAATTTGCTTTATTAACAATATTACCTCTCTCCCCAAGCGCCTACATGGCGTATAGTGGGACAGATTTACTTTTTGAAAATATATGTAAATTGGTTATTTGTGCACTGCTGTTTTATATGATAATTAAATAAATTGTAAATGTGTTTTATTGACATTCTCATTCGTGGGTGTTCTGTTGGGAAAACAGAGGAGCGAAAAACACGTCTTTAGATTAAGCTTTTAATTAGTAAAAGTAAGCAGTTATGATTCTCCCCAACCATGTGATGGACCCCGGAACAGTCGACTCCTTTTAAAGCGGCCAATAGACTCAGTTCGACTATTCTGCCGTAGGCGAACAAAGACAGATACACGTTATGAATCTAAGTGACCATCACATCACTCCGTTAAGTATATTATTTTATTTCATTCGGAGTGCAGGACTGCTAGAACGCTGATACAAGGAATGGGAAGCACATCAGATCGAAAAATGTCTACGCGAGGTTTCAGGATCTCACAGCGGCGAAAATGCAGATGGTTGTCGTCTGGGTTGTTGCGGCGTGTATAGTCTGGTAGATGTTTACCGAGTTTCATAAATACCTGTTGGCGCTGTCATCAGGGCGACTCGCCCTTATGTGGTGTTGTCGTATGTAGGTACAGGTCTTAGGACGAACTGATCACTCATCCAAGGATTCCTATCAAATGCACAACAGCTTAAGAAATATCTCATATGTAAAGCTTCCAAGATCCTTCAAGGACTGCGGAGCCGGCGAGTAAGTCCTGAGTCTCTACTGGTAATCGGCTGTTCATACGATTAGGTTTAGCCGCAAGGAAGATTGTTATGTTTATACGGTGACTCAGAACTTCCCATAAAAAGAATACTAAAAAGTACGATCTATTTATTTATGTCTGAGGTTGAATCTTCTGTGCGAAGAAAGAACTGAGTTGGCATTATTTTCAATTGTGGCGTCAAAGAAACCTTTGATCTAACATAAATTGTTACAACTGTACAAAAAATGTAGGCCTGTTATATGTTACATTGGCACAGCTGGCAAATTAACCTTTTGAACATGACTCAAAAATGAATCCATATTCAAAAGAGCAATTTGGTCGTGATTTTTACAACTTTATATTCGTCACAGAGTTTATGCAGTGTAGAATGTTATGTAACGTGAATGCCAATAACATAAACGAATTGGTGGATTGGTTAATGGACTTAAAGTGGAACTAACTGCAGTGGGTACACGCGACTCTTACGATGTGGACACAACTGAACGAGACTAAACTCGTGCTGTGTAAGATTTGAGGTTTTCATAGCGGTGAGTATGAAGATTTCTGTCTTCTGGGTTATTGCGCTGTGTAGACTAGTCGATGGTTACCAACGTTTCAGAGGTCATACATCGCCCTGATGACGGAAGCAGTATGACGTCTGAAACGTTGGTAACCATCGACCATACTACACAGAGCAACAACCCAGAAGACAGAAATCTTAAAGTCATACTGCTGAATTTTACATTGAAACTTACTATTGACTCACATGGTAAAGAATTTCAAAGATTTTACGTACCCGAAGTTAAATTTCCGTTTACACAAAAGCCACCCATTAGACCGTTCCCTGAGCAAGTCAATTCTAAGTCCACACCTTCACTCCCGAAATTATATTTAAGTCAAATCCTAACAACCAATCAACGAAACGTTATGTCAGTTCCATTACCAATGAGAGGGGGTAGCACATCCGCTTTGTATTCAAGAGGTCTCTTCTTCGATTCCCAGCCATTAGGTCGGTTATCCTGACTGAGGTTTTACGTGATTTTCCTCAGCTTCCACACATATTCTGCAATTGTAGCTACTTTAATACAGACCGTGACCGCTGCTTTGTACGTTCTATTAAATTCATTACTCAGGATTAATCTGATATATGACGGTGTAAACTTTGTGCAGATGGAAGCGGGTGTTTTAATGAATTAAGAAACAAAGAACTACCTACTGTATTCAGTACAGAGGATTGTGCAAAAGTAGGCGTAATGGGAGATAAAGCATAACTTCTGTAGTAAAACTGGCAATATGTTTAGTTTCGAAGACGGTGATATTATATTTTTTTTTGAAACGTTGGTAAGTATCAATAAGTTCACAGGCGTCACTTCTCATACGACCAAAACGTCATCACCATTTCTCATATGGCAGTACATTGTTTATCTCTGTCATTTAAACACTCATTTGTGCGGCTTCCTGTCTTTCGGACAGGACTGACCACCACATTTTGTCCGGTCACGTTTTTATACCAACATTCCTCGTGTTGGTGCCGTTTACCGCACCGTGTGACTAGAATGGTAAATCCAGAGAAATTTACTGAAATGAGAGAAACTGGTGGTATATCCTAGACAGTATTATAGTTATAAAGTTACTGAAGTGTCTGTCAAATTAAAATCCGATGTGTGTTGTATTTCGGTCTCAAAGCTGACATAAGTTCTTTCGTGAGGTATTTGTGTTTGAGGAATAAGCCAGTTGGGACCAACTGTGGAAGGAGATTCGACAGGTGTTCCGAACTGACTAAAAGCCAGGCTTCTTCTAACTTCCTAACGTAATTTACTTTTGCTTTTCTACGTATTCTCAACGGAACCGTGATTCTGTTTCTCAACGAAACTGTGACCCTTTTATTACAGTTTGTTTTATATAAACCAGGGTAAATGCATTTCCTTAAATTTATCTCTACTCGTGAGTTTACACTCAACCATTCATCCCTGTCAAAGAAGTATACGTCTCCACCAACTATTCCTGAGCTAGTTATAATATTTTATGGTTAATAACCATTGGGCTTTTACGTCATTTTATTGTCCGTTTGAAACCATAATTCTGCTAGGAAGTACGTTAAATGTCCAAAGCCAGATCGCCTAACAAATATATTATCTGACAGAATTTTCCGTAAAACGTGTGTTATGAAAGGGCCTAAAGCCTAAATTTGGGTTCTTTTAGGCCAAATGTCTTTATATTTTTGAAAACGGAATCACGGTAACAAATTTACGACTCGTCTTGATGCACTTCTTTTTAAAAATATTCGTTACCTTTCGTAGATATGTAACCGAAATAAATATATTCATGCGGTAGCATTTCATAAAGTTTAGCATTCTAGTGAAACAGGTTGAATATAAATAAAAATCTTACAAAAACGCCTCCGATCCAACATGTTTTCCCTTCAATACTCGGTGAGAGGAGTTTAAGGTAATACAAAATACATTTAACGTCAGCCTTTCTTACCGAGGACCAAGATATAAATTGTTAAACCCCACTGCATACCAAACTGTCACGTTTTAAGTTCTGTGTTGCTGAAAGACAGACGTAGATGGCGGTGACATCGATCCAGAAAAGTCCAGTTATTAAGCACGGTGCGAGAAGCTTCAAGACGTAGGTATTAGTACTGCTGAATCATTGAGTGGTGTTTGGGTTAACGTAATATGTTTCCGTGAAATTTTAGCCCCAAAAATTAGTTACTTTAGGGGTTGTGTTTTGGTCCTGCAGTTAATTTAGTGTTTTGTGTTTATGAACTATTATAAAACATTTCTAGTGAAGAACTGCTGCCATAATATGGTAATGCATCTTTTGGTTGTTTAATTTCTGGCTTTGTAAATGTTATAAAGTCTTTCTTTGAAGTTGTAGTGATGTACAGATACAGCAGACCGCTGATGAACCGAGTTGCTTGGGAAATATATTTTCTGTTATAATTGAAACCTCGGATAATCCGCAAAAATTAAATGAAACACGAAAACGTAACAATTACGAAAGTTTATTTACAGACATACACTACTTAAATTTGTGAAGATTTACTAATAACAGAAAGTGTTTTATATAAAATTTAATAGAGTACATACCAAATACTTTGAAAAGGATGTCAACTGATACTAATAACGTTTCATGATCGTAAAATTCAGGTTTTGGCATTTGACTTATTTTATACATTAAATTACATTAAGTAATGTCATTGTTGTATTTACCCCGTTCTCTTTAGACGATCTAACTTTTATATTAGATTTCCTAATTTATTTTAGTTTAAACTATACTGCCTCCGGTTAAACAGTCGCTGTATAGTCGGGAGTCTATTGTAGTTAATAAGTTAATAAGTTTTGATATGCTACACTATTATAATGTACTAGTAAAATCTGTAAGTGGGGTGTGAACATTTTGTGAAATATCTTGTTTAGGCTTAGAGGGGCGTTGTCGTGACGATACATTTTTTTACAGGTTTTGCTGTGTACCAATGAACTGCTAAAGTATGACATTTTATTTTTAATTTCTCAATACGTTATCCGGGTTATCACTACCAACAGGGTTGATATGAATGCTACGCCGCTGCGGTCATATGAATCTATGTGTATTTGGGCATGGTACCATTTAACGTGATTATAATACGCTTTTAACTAAGAATTGTAAAATGAGATTGAATTACGATGCCCTATTAAAAAATGAGTGACTTAATTCACTGATTTCAGAAATGTTCCGATGAAATTGGCGTATGAAAAATAAACGTGCAGTTCTCACGATTGGCGTGTGCATAGACTGCAGTCTCCAGGTCATCGGGGGACGCTGTCGGCGCAGTGGGTGAGTAGAGACCAGCAGTCTGTTACACGAACACAAACATTGGTATTGGGCAGCATTGCTTGTATGTTTTAGTTTTCATTTCTGTCAGAATCAGTAGGATGTCTTTCCAGAAGCCTTTATGTAGTTGACGACGTCACTTTCGTTTGATGAGGGCTTCATTGCTACGAAACCCTTAGTAGCGACAACGAACATGTGTTAAATAATATTTACTCTTTAAGGTAACCGAAGAATGGGCCTACCTTATTTGTCCATTCCCTTCGTCTGTCTGTCGCTAATTTCAGACGAAGAATTCGTGTTTCTGTCACTGAGCAAACGAACTATTCATAAGGTCATGTATCACTGGTCCTATGATATATTTAATTACGATTTATAAATCATAAGAACGACTTCTGATGATTATTAGATAATTATTTCTAATTTTGGATCCTACTACCATCTATAAATTGTCTTGTGAACTGTTAGTGATTATGTCTATGGGTGGCCATATAAACTATTTGAGAATGAGTAAATGATGGGTTGATGAAGACCGGTATTAATGATGATTTTGTGGTCACTTTATTTCGTACTTTTTTCTTTGAAGCCAGTGGTTCGGTGACGATGAAAAAAATTAGGAGTACTGAATGGTGATTTGTTGCCGATGATCATTAATTGGTGGTCATAACAATGATATTTCTAATATGATTTGTTTATAACAATTAAAGTGACTAAGTTGTGATTAGTTTATAATTTAAGTTATAATTTGATGAAAACTGGATAATTTTAATCGTGGTGATTGTTAAATTATGATTGATGTGATTATTCTTAGATGGTTTTATGTTGGTATTTTAGAGACTAATGACTTGATTATAATTATTTAAATATAGCGCTGGTATGCTGACCAATATGGACGCGTTTCATCTGTCCGTCTGTCGTGTCGTTCACCTGGTCGTACTGCTGTTAGTTGCCATACTGTTTGATAGCACGCGCATAGGCCTTAAATACGTATCAAAATTTTCATGTGCTCACTTTTAATCTTTCTGCCCGTCTTGGACTTTTTTTTAAATATTTATGTATGTGATATTTAAGTGAGCTCACTTTTCCTAAATGGTTCGCATTTTTACGATGTCTGTACAATGTTCCCCAATCAACTTTATGATATCATAGAAGAGACGTTTCCTCGTTGTTTTGGTAAATAGATAGTTTAGTCTGTCAACAGTGTAATACAACAAACGTGTTCCTATATCAACTAAACTACTGAATTTAACTCTTTCATGATGTCATAAGTCCGTAACTCATTTCGGTGTTGATGAGTGGTAAGGAGAAGACATTAGTCATAACAATTTAAAATTACGTTGTTGAAGAGATATATGACGGGAATTATTCCACACCAAGACGTAGACACACACACACACACACACACACACATACAGAAGAGTTGCATCGTTCCATGTCGAGTAAAATTGTGAATATAGCCCATAAAATCCATTCCCCTCCCTAGCATGTTTTGACTTCTTGCGTGTAAAATACAAAGCAGAATTAGTCAACCATATTTATCCCAGGTCAGATGGAACTCTTTTGGACAGACATCTGTTTGGATAACCTCCGCTTAAAATTATTTAGTTCAGAGATTATTAAACAAAATAATACGCACATATTAAGCAGACGTTACAGGTCGATCGAAAGGCAAAAAAGTAATATTTTTAATAATTTACTATTGAAACCTGCGGTATACTGTCCATTTATTTAAAAATGAAACTGAAATGGAAACTTTCAAGTAGCTGGTGGCAGAATCCTAACGGAATCGACGTAAAATAGAAGTTGTTATGAAGTAGTAACTGTGATAATTATGTGATACATTCTCAGTCATCGTCCATGTTTTGCGATACTTTTCTCACAATATTATCTCCTTCTGTGGTATAGTTTCTTTTTGTCTTTCGCTTCTTGTAATCGTTTCTGTTATCTTTTCTATTCCACTTTCATTGTTCAATCTTTTTTCTTCGTGTTTGCTACTGTCGCTTTCTTGTCTCGTTTGCCTCTGTTTTTCCTTTCCTCTTTTCTTTATGTTTCTAGTTATTTAATTTTCCAAAGTCTAATCGCCTTTCCACATCGGTTTCTTTCAACTTTTTTCGTTTCATACTTCTGCTTCTCTAACCGATTCTCTTTTTATTCTTTCGTTAATTTAAACTTCTTCTTTTATCCTTAGTGTCTCTTGCATTTCTCTCCTCTGCAAATTACTTCTTCCGAACGTTGTTTTATGAATGAACAAATAATTATTCAGTTATTGGCAAGTAAATTTTTTGTTAACATTGTGTTTGTTTTCAACTTTAAATTATTGCAAATTTGAAGAAAACTACCAGACTGAACGGCGTTACAACCAGATGACAGCCATCTTCGGACTTACCGCCGCGAAATGTTCAAATCCTACTATTGAAAATTTCTGTCACTAACTGTTCCAGAAACCATTTTGTATCCTGTTATAATATTAAGTTTAAACTTTTATTCGATAAACACAGAAGAAAACTAAAATTTCCATAACTCGTGTGTACAAAACATTCTGAATCCGAAAACATGAAAAGAAGAAGCAGAAATACTGAGGTGTCCAGAAGCTGTAGAGAAAAGTCAGTATTAATCCATTAAGGTGACAATAGTATCAGCAGCTTTGTTCCTCCAGCATTTAAATAGTCGAACACAAGAAAATCTAATCCTATACAGACAGCACGAAGACGCCTTCATGAGTAATAACCCTGTTGAAGGCATAAGCACACTCTTACGTTGTTGCTGTCAGGCTTCAAATTATTTTCTGTTTCACTTGGGACACATTTAAAGACATCGGCCTCGCTTCTTTGTTGCCGGGACGATGGATTGCTTTCCTGCAGTTTCTTTTGTGGGCCAGATACCAGGAACAGAAAGAAATTACGTCTGAGACACTGGATACCTTCACAAACTTCAAAAACAGTTTTTGATCAAGTAGAACGAGAGAAACTTTAGAAAGTAGTTACCAGAAGGAGACACCCACATCTTTAATACAAATAGTAGAAAATCTCTATATGAGAAAAACAAATATAAATACATAAACATATACTAAATGACCATCTTTCGAAATATACAAATATTGGTTGGGGATTGAGACAGGTTTGTGTAATGTCTCCAGAAGCTTGTAGCCTATCCAATATCTGGACAAAGATAAGTGTGAACGAAAAGAATATATATAGGATTTCAACTAACTTATTTAATTTAATTAATTTAAATATTAACGTCTTAGCATTTGCTGACGATTATATTATAATAGCCAATTTCTAAGGCACTAAAGTTGATCTCCAGAGATATATATTCGACTTCAGTAAATTATGTAAGTACTATAATTTAAAAAAACTCTTGTCACAAAATGAAATACTTAGGTTTTCAAAGGAAAGCACGTTGTTTTACATGATACATTATTGGAACAGGTTATACCTACGACGAAGTCGGAAAGAAGGAGAATGAATATATTTAAAACATTCGTGGAACTTATGAAGGAAGATATAACTGAAATAATATTGAAGTTCTGCAGAGTCATGGCGGTGGCAGAATATCACACGACAACGAACTATGGGGAGTGGCAAACGAAAGGCAAGCAACGCGTAGACCTGTGAAGAATTGCAGTAAATAAAATAAGAAATGAAGGTACACGAAAAAATCATATACGTTTTCACTGAATCATTTTCTGAGTTTAGTTCTCTATGCAGAAGACTATGTTTAAATAACAAGGGGGTTTTCTAACCACAGCCTTAATATAATATCCTTAATACCGCTATTCTCTTACTACACAATCTTTAATTTTATAATTAGAAACCTACCTATTCTCCCCTTACATATTCCCAGTTATATCTTACTAATTTCATTCTCCCATTTATATTTACTTGTATAAATATATCCTATATGCTTTAATTCTACAGCGGTAGTAAAATGTTTCTACTTATAGAGGTAATAGAAAGCCGTGTTTTGTTCAGAAAATTGTGCCATATTTTCCCGTCATTAAATAAAAATAGACAAATTTAAAGAGCATGTTCAAATAACAGCTAGAGATCGCATTCCTGAATAAGCAAAGGACTAAAACATGGCAATAAAATATGGAACAACCGAAGAAAAGATGTCCAACTCCATAAAGGAGGCTGGAACATGCAGCTGTCTAATCCTTGGATGTAAAGAGGTGAAGAAGAATTATGCAACTCTGGTTGTTGGTCGTTAAAACACCTGGAAATATCCTGCCAAATTCTAAGTTCATGTTCATATTTTCAAATCACGAGGAAAAGCGTATTTCGAAAGGTTGTTTAATCTGTTCTCCATGACATTGCATTATTTACCGAAGTTCCATTTTTGTCCATTCGCGATGGGCTTATGCTGGCAGCACTGAATCGAATCGCCGAACGCTAAAACGCTTTCTGTAATCGTATTAATGGCTTGGCGACTGACTTTGTTCAATTTACCGTGACCATTAATTACAAGTGTTCTATAGGAAATAGGTTGTTCAAGCCTTTAGCCTGCAAGCATTCACCAGCGCCGAACCTGTTATGTGTGAATAAATATATATTAATAGCTTTGAGTTTCAATAGACAAGATGCATTTATCAGCAATACGGAAGACAGACCTTACTGAATAGCGGAACACAGGACTTATCTCAGATAAACTAATTAACTACCCACATAACTTAATAAGCACCTAAATAAGTTACCGAGAAAACAAGAAACGAAAGGGACAACCACAAAGGTTTACAGAAATATTCTTATTGCTTGCTGAGCTATAATGCATAATCGAAAAGTAGAGATATTACACGCCACAAACAGTTAAAATATTGTAACATGCAATGTATCACATGATGTCTGCACCAAAGACTTTATTTTACGAAGAATTTTATGTACAACCAGGTATTTGTTTCATGAAATTAACCTCACTTATAGCTTTATATAAATTATGCTAAGATAGAAGCGAAATTACATTCATTTAGAGCTTTTACGGAAAAATCGATGAAAATGGCAGTCTTTTAGTTTGTTGCGCTATGTAGTCTAGTAGAAGTTTACCAACTTTTCAGAGTTCCTCGCTGCCTTCATCATCAGATGGAACATTGGTAAAATTCTAGCAGACTACACGGCGCTACAACTGAGAAGACCGCTATCTTCGGACTCACCGCCGCGAAAACTTCAAATCCTACCTGGAAATTGATTTAACTTTCTCAGATTTCTATTATCTCCTAGCCAGCTTCTGCCCGTCTGGTGAACGCACTCCATTCCGAAACAGACGACACTACGTATACTAAGAGGCACTGTACCACTTTAACTGTGGCGTTTAAACCCATCCCTCTAAATTCACAATCGCCCCAGTCCTCAGGTAACGTGTTACGACTACTTGGCACTGGGGTTCTCATAGCGCTGAAGACATCGGTGCTGGTCAGCTGGGTTTATTGTTCCATGTGCACTTGTAAGAATTTACCAACATTTCGGAGGGACATACTGTCTCATTGGCCTCTATGTTACAACCCTAAAAACAAATGTCGACGTTTTGTGACTACCTTCCTGAATATGATGGCATCTGTTAATTTGGACGACTTTAATTCCAAGTTTGAACAAAGAGCACATACATAAGCGCATACATACATAGACATACAAATATAAATACATAACACAGAGTATATGCAATGCAGTACCAACACCGTGTGATATCTTATACTATTAAAACAAAATGTCTTTGTATCTGAGACCTGAGGTTATCAGGCCAAGATGTCGATCTTGTTGTAGGTTATAACGCCATGGCCTCTTCTAAGTTGTTATCAACAGCTTTTAGTAGCTCCACTCCGAAAACGTCTGCAAGATGTGATGCTTGATTATTCAACAGGGACAAGTCTACATTATCGGCCTCTTGTAATATTTACTTTGCTTGAAGCTCAAACAGAATGTTACAGATGCTATCAAAAACAATTTGTTTTAAAAAAGAATATTGTTATGTAATCTGATATGTCATGTTTGAAAACTGTTATTCAGACACCTTTGGCTGTGACGAATATTTGTCGAAATGCAAGGAAACATATTTTCCGTTCCTATGGCGTTTGATGTCTGTAGATCATTTAGATTTGAAACATTAAATTTGTGTATGCATTAATTAACACAGACTGAACTGAACTGAACTGCAGTTAGCTATCTCCCTACCTAAAATAAAGATCAGATGTGGAAGCTGTTGATCCGGTTGCAGCAGCACGCTGCTGGTGGCCACGTCATTTATCTGTAGGCAAACCATGCACGATATCATTTTGATGAACGACGTGTGCCAGTGGACGGGAAGTTTTCTCTTTTGTTAACGTGCAGGTTGTGGGAAGTATCATGGCTGCCGGGAGCAGCAAATTTACAGTTATCTATTGCTATTTATGTACTCATTTTTAAAACGTGTTTAATAAATCGCACACACTAAATTAAGAGACTGCTTACCGCCATACACTTCAGACTATCTTCTTGTCTCCTACCTAAAATCTTAAACTTCAGAACACACACAAAAGTACTTCATCTTGTTGGGTGTGAAATTTAGATTTCTCGTGCTTATTAAAACTTTTATAAACAAGATAATGTTACTAATTACAGCCCAACGTATCTTTACTTTAGCATATTTCAGGCTGTTTTTTATTAGTTTAAATCCCAACTTGCTTCAACAGTATCTTCATTTTGTACTTATGGGTTTCGCATAATTGTCATTGTATACATGATTATTTCTTTAAATAACCTGAACTAGTTGATCTTTATAATGTTGAAGTGTTGTTTTCTTTAAGGTACGGACTGAATTCTCAAATATTATACATACGACCCCTGGCTTCAAACGGTTACATGAAATGAAAGGAAGACAGTGCAAGGGAAAGTTCTTCTCGACACGGTTCTTATATTTTGAACAACTGATTTTGAATTAGAAACAGACTTTTATTATATACGTTTTAGAATTTCGGAAAATAGCGTGTAAGTGAACAAGTAACAAATATGTGTACTCCATAACCTGCCATTACTGTAAATAATCCCCTGTTTAAGACCCCGTTGAAGGGCCGGAACATACAGGGCACTAATTACAAGGTCTAATTAGTATTTCGTATATCGCATAGTTGATTTATTCTTGTAGTATGCTCCCTGGTTTAAGAGGAATATAACACAAATGCATGATCAATTTAAAGTCATATATCTCATCTGAGAGGAGGAACACAGATTGAACTGTTACGTACAATTTCCGTTCCGAATTTAGTACGCATTTGAGATCTTTAATAGGTGGATGGAGAGTGAGATAAAGCATATGCCCTAGGCAGACTTTCGCTCTGTGTGCGTCTGAATAAAATATCGCGAAAGTAAAAGCATTGCACAGACCACTAACGACAGGACAGTTTCTGTTTGTAGTCTGGTTCACTCCAAACAAGACCCAATTTGAACGACGTAATTCCAGTTGCTAATCGCGTGTCCTCGCGGTTTTGTGCATTAGCGCGCACAGTGGAGTGTTCTGAAGATATTCACGGCACACGTGTTGCAACAAGAGCGTGTCTCTTCGAATGCAGAGCAAACCTGTAAAGTGTGTTTAACATTCTCCTTGCTGGGTCTTTTGTAGCAAAGCTGTCGCCTGTTCCTTTACGTTTCCACTAAAAGTTCTGTTATTATCACTAGTAAAACGACTGGGGATGCGAGTCAGGAGGGATTATTATTCAAGGCACGTAGCATCTAAAAGTTTAGATATCTCCTTCGTTGCATGGGACGGATAGATTTTCACCCTTTAATAATCTGAAACATATTTTATGAATCTTGCGTCGTGTCGTTTTTAAATGTAAAATTTTGTTGAAGGAAAGGCTTTGCTTCATTGGTCAGGTAGAAAAGTTAAATTCCATTTTGTTACAATATGCGGAGCTGAAGTCTGTTCCCTGGACACACGATTAGTGGTAGGTGATGTCAACTTTCGGTGCCACGGACGACCAGCGGAAAATAAGAAGATAGTCTCTTCCATAAATTATAAAGCGAGCCGAAATATCCACCTACAAAACTGAAACTCGAAAACAAAAATAAAAAAAATTGGAGAGTGAAAACATGAATAACGGATTAGAAAAAGTAAAAGTGTTATGATATGCCAAAAAAGACTGACCATGTACGTGACCGACATTAAATGCTGTGTAATAAATTAGACATTATGTGGTCAAGTTTAGCCACACATTGCATACTAAAATTAGCCAAAACCGTAAGACATTTATAGACTTCAAATAAATCTCTACTGGTAATTCATTTACAGTGGAATTTTTATTCACCACTCAGTCAGAAACTAGTCGGTCTAATTAAAGAAACTTATAATGAGGCCCGTGTACACAAACACTCTCACGATGCACTTTCTGTTCATAATTATCTGAGACGAGAAGATTCTTTATCACAGTTCATTTGTACCGTTTCCTTGTTTTAGAATGCGCCATTAGCAAGTTCCAGAAACAAAATTTAACACTCATGTGCCCGGCCCGTGATGTTTTATTAATCTGTTGGATGAAAATATAAATCTCACTGAGATTGCATCTGGTACTCGTAAGGCAAATTTTTCGTATCTGGTCACCAGACTACAGAATAAAATCACAAAAAGGTTGGAAAATATTTTGAAAGTTTGCAAAGTTTGTAATATTTTAGAACTAAGATAATAAATCAAAACTGTATTCAATGAGGAATTAGTAGTTTAACTCGGCGTGCGCGAATGTCCACGCAGTGAATAGTGTTTCGTCTTCACAGATGTTGTACAAAAATTAACGTATAAAGTGTTTTAATTTTATTTTGTATGGGTGTCAAACTTGGACCCCCAAATTAAGGATTCCGATAATACTTGGGCGCGTTTAAGAACAGGGTGCTAACGGAACATTAGTACTAAAGAAGGACGATGTGACAGTAAGACGAAGGAACTGCATGATTACTAGCTTCGTTACGTGTACTATGAGAATATAGGCCTATTAGGATGACGAAACCAAGCAGAACTAGGTAGACTGTGCATGTATCACGCATTGGGCGATGAGAAAGGCGTAGAAATATTAGCTAAAAAACCTGTATTGAAGGGTCACTCGGAGAACCTAGACATAGAAGGATTACAATATTAAAGTCGATTTTACAGAAACCCGGTGGGTTGCTATGGACTGGATTCATTCTGACCATGATAGGGACCGGTTGTCGTTATGAAGACGGTAGTGATATTTATGGTTCCACAAAAGACGGAAAATATTTTGACTATGTACGCGGTCATCATTTCTTCAAGAAAGACTGCGCTCGGTTGAAAGTGTTATTTAGCCTCCTTTCAGCCAATTGTTTTTTACAACCATAATGAGCAGATTTCGATTTCTGTCGGATTTTTTTGTAAATATGGCACTTAATTACTCCATTCACATCTAACCATGCACATACATTACCTCGTATCTGGGTGTACTCTATGATCTTTATGTTATCGAATGTATTTATGAGGTGATAACAAAACTGAATAGAATTTAACGACGAATTTCTCTTTTATTAGTGACATGCAACATTTTATCCAACATTTCTTTTGACAGTTACCTCCGTATGTAGACGAATTACTAGGGATCATCAGCGTGGTTTCCAAAACAAAACTGAAGAGATTTATCAGGTAATGGACAATAGCTAGAATTATAACGGGACAGTTCATTAGCTATGTATAGACTTCAAGAAAGCCTGTAATAAAGCTGGATTGAGTTATTATACAACAATCGCATTGAATTTGGCATGTCCATGAAACTGTTTACGCTAATTAAAGAGACATATAGTGAATCCAAGATAGGAAGCATTTGGCTAATGCATGTCCTATTCAGAATGGACTGAAACAAGGGTATGCTATCTCGCCATTGATTTTAAGCTTTGCTTTACACCGCGGCATTAGTAAACGTCCAAGAATATAAAGAGGGTTTGCAATTGAATTGAACACGTCAGCTTCTGGATTATTCTGAACATATTCATTTGTTCGCCGGAAACGTAAAATAGAATCAAATAAACACACAGAATCCCAACAGCATCCCAGAAGACAGTCATCTTCATATTCAACACCCTGAGAACCTGAAATATCAACGCACATGAGTGTCGCGAACGTGTTTAACGTTTCACTACGTAGACACTGGGGGGCTTGCTTTTATTTGTCAAAGGAAAGAAAGAGATTGTTAGCTGTACGTCTTGTTTCTCTTTCACAGAACTTGAAAAGTACATCATAAATTCTTAGAAACCTACAGGAGAGACTTCCGTGCAGTATATAATAATTTTCATGTTGATCCTGACACTTGTAAATCACCACAGAGGCTGATGTTAAAGTGATACTGAGTGCATCTGTTCACTTGCTGTCCACTCAAAAGAAACATAATTTTTGCCTAGAATAATTTTGAAGAGAACTCTTTCTGTAATTGTTTACCTTCTCGCTAAAACCACCCCTCTTACGAAAAAGTCTTAACATTTGTTTTTATTTAAGAAATGGCCGTGGTTCAATTTCGAGTTCGCAGAACTTACGAAGTATTTGTAGTTTAATTTAGTGTAAGGAGCAATGCATATTAATACCTAGCGTCGTTCTGTAATGGTTTAAAGCAACAGTTGTATTCAACTCTTAAACATTAGTTACATGCGTAATATTTTTTTGTATACATCTCCTTGATGGCTATTCTGAAAGTAACTAGAAAATTGTGACCAGTCAAACTTGACGAGAATGAACCTTCTTTGCGTTGAGCAGTAATACGATTTATTCAAGCATTATCTATGCAAATTGTATTGAAAGTCTTTCTTGATATAGTAAATTAAATGTAAAAACATCACTGTGACAAAAGTTCCTGTCAAACTAACCAGCACAAAACAGAAATCTTGGTTCCAGACTAACCTCAGACACATGAGTATTCTAGGCGATATCACAGTATTGTTGATTTCTTACAACCACAGTCGCCACCGTCAGAAAGTAATTTAAATTTTCCATATCTCAGGAACGCTGCACTCAATCAATCAGGCGTGAAGGACATTGACAATTATTTTAGGAGCATATTTGAACTCCTTTCCCGGGGGTAAAGCCGGCCGGGGCGTGATGCTGACCACTCACCCCATCTAGTGCCGAGGTCAAGGAAGAGAGGAGCTATACCTCCACTCACCTCAAACGCCTACATGGTGTATAGTGGGACAAACTTTACTTTACTTTTATTTGAACACACCATCTACAAGATTGTTGCGCCGTGTAGTCTGGTAGATTTCCACCAACGTTTCAGAGGTCCATGCTGCCTCCGTCATCAGGGCGATAGCAGCATAATACTTATTTTTTCGTACATTAAATTCCATTATGCCGGTCATAGTGGCCGCGCGGTCTGAGATGTGGGCTTTCATCGCTCAGACACTGGAACCCTGGGTTTGAACCCCTTTCAAGACACAGATATTTGTCTGCGGCTTTCTGTGTAGTGTTGCCCTGTTTACAGGTAGAGGTCTTGTGACGGGCCGATCACTCGTCCAAGGAGTCTTGCCAAAATTTAAATAAATTAAGAAACCTCTCATATGTGAGGAGCGAAGGTCCTTCAAGGACTGTACAACCAGTGATGATGATGATGATGATGATGATGATAATAATAATAATAATAATGCTATTATGGGGACCGCGCCTTGTCAGTGTTATTCAAATTCAGTGCACTTCAAAGTAATCACGCTTATAATTTAATTCTAAAATCCTGCTTCACTTGAATCTCTTTATTCTCTTTTCAGATGCATTCGCTGCCTGTTACACGCTGCTGCTCTGCTTTTCTCGTGTTACGTTGACCCATTATATTATTCCCAGAACGTGGGTTAAACATTTATGGTCTACATAATACTGTACTTTTACTTTTCTGTATACTATATTTTATTACATTTATTCCATCTCAGTTTGTTTATACGAATGTGTTTGTATTTGCCATTATTATTTCTTTCAATTCCGATT